AAAATCTAGGCAAAATAAGGCCTAGAGCAAACCTAGTGTTAAGGAAAACCATTACAGAATGCATTGCACATATTTATAAAACAGAAGAGTGTCCAAAACCTTTAGGCCTCGTATGGCAACTGTATCCCAACAGAAATTTTCAACACCTTAAACCAAGTTTTTGGACTCTAATGAGTCGCTTAGTTTAACTCCACAGTAGCCTCAATGCAGAGACAATATTAATGAATCTTGAGAAAAGTGAAATCATGAAAGTGCTTCTGTGCATGAAAGCAAGCTGGCTCCATTCCCTTACTGTTTATTTAGGGCTGCACGTAGCCCCAAGGCATCGTGCTTCTCTGCCTTTTACATTTGGCAGGAGCAAAGGCCCGTTCCAAGGGAAAGTGGCCTTGCACAAACGCCAAAGACGAGGCTCAGCGGGGCTCCTTGTGCCCTCCTCTTCCCTCACACAGCCCTTGGCGAGTGAGGTGTCCTGAGCATGGCCATGGCCTTGACTTCTCCTCCATATGGTTCCTCTAGTGCTGCATGTGCATGAGGCTGTCCCACACATGTTTCTGTGAGTATTCACTTATCTGTGATCTGTGGGGAAATGCATACCATCATCATCTCCATTCCTGGCACAAAAGAGAGTCTGAAGATTAGGTGTAAGACTAGGACTTTTGCTGGTTTCTTAGAAATTGAGAGAGAGGTTGTGGAGAGAGAGAGAGGCTGTAGAGTCTCCTTCTCTGGAGATCTTCCAAACCTGCCTGGATGCCACCCTGTGCCACATGCCCCAGGTGTCCCTGCTGAGTTGGACTAGATGATCTCTAGAGGTTCCTTCCAACCTCAGCCATTCTGTGATTCTGTAATTCTGTGAAATTTTCCAGATTATTTCAAACATCAGCGATGCTATCTGTTCCAAAATATTTTAGTCAGGTATCCTATACTGCTGCCTTTGGCTGAATTTTGCCAGCCTTAAAGAATGGGGGTCTGATCCTGCCTTTCTGATGATTTGGGGACGAGTTCTGGGGTCACTGCTGTGCCTCCTCCAGACATGAGCCCATGTCAATAATCTGTGTCGGATATTTAAAAATTCCCCCATGAGATCAGTCTGGCAATTGCATGGGTTGCCCACGTGTAGCCTCTGTCTTCAGAGGTTCTCAGGACCCAGCTGGGTGCCTCCCTGAGCAACTTGGTCTGGCCTCAGAGCTGACCCTGCTGTGAGCAGGAGGTTGGCCTGGAGATCTCCAGACATCTCTCCCCACCTGAATTATCCTGTGATCTGCATAAAAGCAGTGTCTAATGATGGCTTTTCCAAGTGCAGCAGGATCTGCTAGAGGGATACCCAGGTAGAGGCAGCTGGTTGAACAGTTTGGTGGTTCATAGACCCCACAGGAGCAGCAGTGAAGACTCTCCTGCAGGCTGGTGACGAAGCCACCACAGTTCTGAGAAGAGATAACAGCCCAGGCCAGGGCACAAGGGTTGCCCGGAGCATCAGTGTGCAGATTCTCTGGGTATAAAGGTAGGATTTGCAGCCAGAGACTTTGGTCTAACTGGTAGCAATTGGATCCAATCTTCAGCTGCTGACAGCAGGGTTTGATTCCAGAAGAGAGTGCTTTGCCTTCAGCCTTGTTCTTCAGGACTCTCCCACGCCTTACCACGTCACCAGCACGATACAACCCTTAATTGCCTTTGACAGGTGGTGGTTTGGCTAAAAATAATGTACACAAGCTTTGAGTTGATTTGGAACAGTAAAGAAAAAAAACCCACTTTTTTATTAATATATTTTTTTCCATATTCATTTGGAATCAGAGAACTTCAGTAACCAGTTCAGGAGCTATACCAAGAACAGAAGGTCTCTGCATCTTCTCTCAATGAATGAAGCTTGTTAGCCAAGCAGAACAGAGATCTGTAAATCAGATCTCCTTCACGTCTGGTTAAACAGCTGGGAATAGGTATGCTTGGGATCAAAGGAAATCACCCAAAGCAGCTTCTGTTTCCCTGCTTGCTCCAGGCATTAGCATAGGACTGGGCTGTGGATGTGGTAGAAAATGAAGTGACAAGTCTGTATGCCTGAGCAATGCCATTAGCAAACTTATCATCCTGTGTAGACATCCTTATAGTTGTGATAAATCCAGAATGGTCAGCAGGTTTCACACAGTCACAGAATGGCTGAGGTTGGAAGGGATCTCTAGAGATGATCTAGTCCAACCCCTCTGCTCAAGGAGGGAGAGGTTTCACCCTGCTTTGTGAAGCAGTGGTGTGTAGACGTGACAGGTGACACCTCCGTGCTAGGCTGGGTGGTGCACAAGCGCCATGAGCAGATTGACCCTGCCTCAGCCTGGATGCTACGTGGAGACAGGACGAGCAGGACCAGACAGGGCTGGAAGAGGAAACGGGCAGGTAAATTCACCCAGTGCCACAAAGCTGGTTGGCAGCAAAGATGGAAATAAACTGCAGACCATGAGATTCCAGAGCCAGGCTATGTCCCCAGAGCAGGAAAGAAGTTGGACCAACAAGTATTAACAAGAGCCTGGCAGTTTGGGGCATGGATAAAGAGGTGCCTTCAGTTAATGGGTTCTGCTTCGACTCCAGGACCTCTAATCTGTTTTGCTGGAACTGTATAAACTTGTTTAAGTGAAGAATAGATGCCACAAATCTTCTTTTGTCCCAGATTGGGCTGTACTGGAGAGATAAAGCTTGCAGGGAAGAAATAACAGCATTTATGAGACCAACAGACAGAACCGAAAAAGCCCCCCTGGCACCCAGCAACTTTCAAAACAGGTTGAGGACAAATTGCTCTAAAGTTTAATTAATCTCCAAAACCACCTGAAAGGAAGGCTGGTTAGCACTTGTGAACCAGAGGCAGGATGCTCAGCTTTGATAAGATCATGAACTCCTATGGGACAGAAAGAGCAAACGAGAGAATAAATTTGTCATTTTATTTCATTTGGTGTATTTGACAGCAGTGAATGAGCAGTCAGTGTCGCTGTTTCAGCCTACAGTCAGTGATTTATTTTACATTTTTTTTCCTCTTTCCTGCTCCAGGAAAGCAGAAGATATTTTGGAAACGTCTCACCTGCTACCTACCACCGCAAGCTCCGGTATCGAGCCCAAAGCAGCCATCGTCCACAGCAGGAGAAGACGTGGTGTCCACGGGCCTGGGGCCCTGGCGCCTCAGGAGCCCCATGTGCCCCTAGGCAGGACGGCAGCTCCCCTTAGCCCAAAACCTTCTCATGGGCCATGAGTAGGCTCACAGAAGAAGTCATGAGCAACAAAACCTTCTTCAAAACCTTCTTAACACACCCCAAACCAGAGATCCTTTCCCCAGGCTCTCTGAATTCGCATGGGAAAGAGGGAGGGATCTCCAGTACATTAACCCTCTCCTTCCTACTAATAGGAAAACGCTGCTGCACTGGAGTCTTCAGAGTTGCATCTGATACTCTGAGAATGTTTGGTATAATTTGTTTGGAGTTTTAGCAGGATTTATTTCCCTGGGAGCGAGCTGTAGGCAGCGGAGGCCCAGGCTAGCGCTCGCCTTCGTGGCTGTCACAGAGCAGGCTGCATGCAAGAGCAGGATATGTGCCTGACAAGTCAGAAGTGCGTTTTAAACTGTAGTAAATCTACACCCAGCTTGTTCACCATATGTTTAAATCTGAAAGTGCTCTGCCATTAGCTACAGCTCAAAAGCAGGCACATAATTTGTTTCACGTTGAAGCACTCTTGGATATACTTTTGCTTCAGACTAGCAGAGATAAATGACTTGCTGGAAGATATCATTTGTAGGACAGAACATTTATATTGTAGGACTAGAGATTTTTCTAAAGCTTTATTATTGTTGCAATGAATCAGCATTTGCTACTTGATGTAATCTTGGCAGGAGAGCACAGCAATATGCTTCTTACCACTTCGAAAAGAAATGCAGAATAGCTGTTTTATTTCAAAATAGAGCCTTTTTTTGTTTGTTTTTAAGGAGGTGAATATGTAGGACTATTAGGTAAAGAGACTCAAAATATATACAAAGGAATTTACCTTTGGAAGGTGAAAAGAACAGATCAGATTTGTGTATCAATATTTTCATTAAAGATGTCAGAATCTGAAAAATGTAAGAATAAATTCCAGTCAAGTATTTGAGCTTGCAAAAAGTTATACAGGTAAGTTTAGTGCTAAGTGCATGCTGTTTTATGACATTACATGGGTCTCTACAGATGCAGCTGTGCTCACAGATATGATGATTTCAGGATCAGACCTCAAACCAGTAAGGCTCTGATCCTGTGTTTTCAAGGAGGGAAATCTCTAACTTTGTAAGACATGACTTCAAATCTGTTGGAGACTATTCACTTGTGCTGTCACAAAGCTGTAAGTCCTTTACATCGATAATACTTGGAAGCTGCTTAGAGCAGTGGACAGTGTTTACATCTTCCAGAAGGGCTTCACAATTTAGGTGCATAGGTGCCATTGCCAGGGTGTAGTTAAACAGAACAGCGTGGAAACTCCGGCACTGGCCGCTGTTACTTGGAGTGCTGGGGGCCTTCTGCGAAGGGAAAGCCAATGATTCGCTGCTGTTGCAGAAGCACTGCGTGGTCGTGTGTTAATTTAACACTGGCATTCCTTCTTCCACAACCCCGCTAATACTAAAAAAAATAATCTTGCCCCCCTCCAAGCCTAATTTCTATTACTTCAACCCCGCTAATACTAAAAAAAATAATCATCTTGCCCCCTTCCAAGCCTAATTTCTATTACTTGAACAGCTCTCTGCACCTCTGTAGCGTTGACTCCATTCCACTAGCTGAAGACACCCTCCTCCCTCCAAAAGAAGAGCAAAGGGGCAAGAATTCTTGTTAAATGTGACTAAAATGTCACAAAAGCCAACAACATGATGACATACAATATGAATGGTGCCACTCAAAGAGGGCGAAAAATGCTGCAGTCCTTTTCCATGTAAGTTTTGCAGTGACATCACTGGGACTTTTGCTCCTGCAATAGCTCGTAGCATTGACACCTAAGAGAAAAATTACACAGTATAAACTGAATTTATGACATAACAAATAATATTTAATATATAGCATTGAATGCATACACATCAATACCAGTGCTGTAACAACAAAACAGAACTCGTAAAATTAGCAGCAGTTTTTGCAAGTACAAAAATACACATTTCTTTTCAGAACATATATAATAGCAAAATTTTTCAGGATATATTATACAAACTCAAAGCATTTAGATAATGCATTACTTTTAATATATTATATGATGTTTTAGATGCTGCATAATAAAATTACATGTGTTCTGCTTGGAATAATACACAATGCCATTTACAGCAATGTTAAGAAACTATTCACAACTTAAATATGAACAGAACAGCCAACAGCACAATAAATGAAAAACGTAGAGTTGGGAGGTGTTAGTTACAAGCTTCAGCATTTAACTTTACATATTTACGAGCTTATTTTTTTTCTTTTCTTTTGCAGTGTGAATGAAATAACTACACCTATCAAACATATCGTATAAACATACAGAAAACAACACACTTACTCCTTGGGGGACAATGGAAGGAATAACTATCAGTTTCAGACCAGTAGTATAATACCACAGTTATGGGATCTACGCTGACTTTGCACGCTACGTCAAAACCACAAAGACTGGGACTCACATCCGCAAGGCTCAACACACGAGTAGTCAAGGGGAGAGTCCCAGCAAGCACCTGGCAGGGCCAGTCAACAGGGTACTTCTCTTAAGCATTTCCTGGGACCTTTTCAGATTTTAGGGAGCATTCTGTTTCTTTGCTTTTTAACAATTTTTGTTATTCTTACAATATTCTGGCAAAACTTTGCATGGGAAAATTACTTTAACAATTCCTTAAGAAAAAAAGAAAACCCATGAATTCTGGGACTGCTCGATTATACTTAAACAGCCTGGATAGTAAACTTAAAATGAACACACATTAACACCAAAGGCATTTTTTATGGTGTTTATTTTAAGCATAAGGTTCCTTCTCAAAAAGCTTTGGTCAATCTCTTCAAACTTTGGATTGTTGCAATGCTCTTCTAAACCTCCTCTTTGATCTTGGATCTAGTCTGTCTCTTCCTGTGACTCTCAGAGGTAATGGCTCAATGTCAGACATAACCAAATAGCCATCCACTGCTTCAGTAGGTTTCGTAGGTACTGGCCTGCTGTTGGTCTCCACCAAGCGCTCCTCAACCAAAGCATCGGTAGGTTTTGGAGGCCCTGGTACCCCAGTGGGCTTAACCAAATAGTCATCACCTGCTTCAGCAGCAGTGTCTTCGTGTTTCTTTAGCAACTGGAAAGTGCTATCCAAAGGGGAGGAGGTTTCAGTTGGGGTAAACACAGATTGGTCTGAAAACTGAGAGAAAGCACTGTCCAGGGAGCTCATTGATGACAAAGATGGAGATGTCCCAGGAGAAGACAAGCTAGAAGAGCTAAATCCTGAGCAAATATTTAATCCCTCTGGGTTTGGAGGCAGGAGGCAATGGGGCAGGTCTTTCTTTTCTGTGTTTTGCCTTGCGTTGTCACTTTTGCCCACATTAATCCCTATAATCAAGCTTTGATTGATAAGCTTTTGCCCTTCCATCTGTAAAGAACGAAGCTGGTGGAGATAGTCTTCATCTTCATGAGAGAGGAAAACGTCGCAGCTGGCTTTGCGCGCTGCCTTCTCACACGTTTCACTGAGGCGGGTGAAACCAGGGGCCAGAAGGCCAATTGTGGGCTCTGAGGAGCGCCTGTGTCTCCTTGGGGTTTTAAGAGCACCTGAGGTAGTTGCCGAAGAGAAGCCCAATGCATTGGAGCAGAGAGATTCATTCTCTGAGTTTTCTTGTGATGAAAACTTATGGTGTACCTCAACAGAAATGGTCAACTGTTTTGATTTGGTTTTGTTCTGGATTTCATCCACCTCTGTTTGCTCTGAATCACCATCGCTCAGAGTAAAGACAGACTCCCTGCTCCTGTTATCCTGATCTCTGTTCTTAATCCAGTCACTAGATGAGGAGTCGGCTTCATCATTAGGCTCATTTTCCAGACTGTCATAGGAAGAGTCATTCAGATGGAGGGAAGCAACATCTGCAAAGACAAAACACTTGTTAGCATGTTAGTAACCAAAGCACCCTGCCGACAGGCAGTCATAATTTTCTTCCTTTCTCTTCAGGGAGCATTAATGCTTTAAAGATCCTTCAAGAAGAAATGTCTGTAATTTCAGGAAAAGAATTACCTTCTAACTGCGAAAAGGAAAAACTGAAAATTCAGTTAAATTGCAGAGTTAAATTGCAGTGCATTTGAGAAACAGGGCACGGTGGGACAAATAAACGTGAGTTTTTGTGTTTTTTTTTTTTTTTTCAAGTCAGGTCATACTGTAGCAACATTAGTAATCCAACTGTAAACAACAATTTACACATAGAATATTAAATTTGTAATTTACTGAATGTTTCTTTTTGTTATGAAATGATCATTTAATCTTTTTTCCTTTTCTCGTGGGCAAATGAAGAAAACAGGGCACACCTCATATACTTTTACGGTGTTTCCAAAATTACAAGAGTTTTAACAGCCACACTATGAAGACAGGTCTCCCTTCCATTTCAGCTGAGCAGTGTGCCCCTGTGCCTTGTTCCACAGAGCTGATAATTTTACAGAATTACAATAAATCTCTTTTGCTCTGGGGTAAACTAACTTAAATTATCTCACATTTGCAGCAGACTGAATACCATGGCTCAGGGAAGGCTTGCAAGCTTGATGAGCTGCTGTAACCTTTTGTGGAGCTGAGCTCAGTCCCAGCAGAGCAAGTCAGCAGGTTCCCTGAGCTTCTGCTGGTGTGGGGAGGAAGGGCAAATATCACTAGATTTCACAGGAGACAGGGCAGGAGAGTTTAGGATGGTCACACTGAGTCAAGCTGGCACTATCAAGTGCCATAGTCACTGTCAGCATAGGCTAGCCAAGACAAATATTTACCTTTCAGAAATATTTTAAGGAGAGATCTCAACCTCACAGAAAAAAAAACATATAATAACACATGGCTGAAGAGGAAAAGGGGATTAGTGATATTCTGAAATACTTTGCATATTATCAGCTAGTTAATGAGACATTTTCAGCCTCCAAATTCCTTCATTTTTCTATGCTAAGCACAAAATCTGCAAATATAAAAAATCTGGAGATCTCTATCTTTTAGTAATAAAGAACAGATATTTTCAACCCCAATATGATGGCATGACATCTATATTAAATCCATTGCTGCTCTCTGACTTTCTGATATTCTCAAGAAATATACTCGAAGGCAAAAATTCTGTATTTGAGAGGAAAACTCAATTGGATCTTTCTTTCTTTCTTTCTTTCTTTCTTTCTTTCTTTCTTTCTTTCTTTCTTTCTTTCTTTCTTTCTTTCTTTCTTTCTTTCTTTCTTTCTTTCTCTCTCTCTC